CGATCCTGGACAACGAAGCTAAGCCTAATTATCATAACTGCCCCCATTAGCATAATCACATACATTCGCATAAATTTCGCGAATCTTCAATAAATTTTTATTATTTTTATCAAATTTTCATAACCTGACATATGCAACACTCACCATGTTAGATAGGCTAATTAAAGAATGTTGCTAGACTAATTTGAATTGAGACTTTAGCTGCCAAACCAGAGCTGGTCGTGGATACATTAACCAAGTATGGGTTTCAGTTTTGTTGCCAGAAAAAAGGGGAAAAACACAATTATTATATTTTGTTACTGGCAAAGGAGGTCCAATGATGTAGATGCTCACCCCGAGCCCTCATTACTTTGATAGTGCATTGTCTTTGAGCTGTACGCCTTTTGGCGTCCTCTGGTCGAGCACTAATTGGGTCGAGGCTCAAAACAAAGCCGCCCCTTGGTGTGGACCAATCAGTTTCAAGGACAATGCATATATTATCAGTGTGTTTTTTGTTTGTATTTTGACTGCAAGCATTGTGGTTATTGCAGACATGAATCGTTGTAAAAAGGTTTCTGTTTTGTTGCCAGAAAAAATGGGAAAAACCCTATTATTATAACAAGTATGGGAGCTCCTCCACCACCTGTAGAACTGCCTGATTACTCATTAAGAGGCGAGCAGGCGGAATGTTGGATGACATGAAATACCCTGGCAGGTCCTTAATTTTTTTGGAAAATATGTAAGGCTCCTCCTCATGATGAAATTCTCCAGGTACAGAACAAGAGTCCCTAACTCCATCGCACTGAGTAGCCATTACCAGATCATCAGCATACATAACATGGTTGACCAGCAGGAAATGATCCCTTAACTATAACCAGCCATCGATTAGCCTCTTAGTGTAACCGTACCAAATGCATTTTTGTAGGGCCATTGTGAGGTTCTCAAAACTATGTACCTATTGAAGATGCTATCGTAATGTACAGACAGTCCCCGGGTTATGGAAGGGTTAGGTTCCTGGGAACGATCCGTAACCCGAATTTCCCATGTCGGAAACTGAACATTTTCTCCAAAACTTAAGACAAAATCCCATAGTTGTGCCGCCCCTACCCAATTGCTCGTTTGTTTTCTCTCAGTACTGTATCGCGCTATAGTCCATTTTCTATCGCGACCTGTATCGTATTGCTGTACATACGTTCTGCACTTCCTATATTATATCATTTAATCGAATATCTATCCTAACACTACCCATAATTAAACTAATAGAATATATACTTATCCAATTATTTACGAACACCATGAGACATTCTAACATTAATTAACAGAAAACAGTCACTTCTGAATATTCGTTTACCAGGCAAGAGGCTAGGCCTAGACCTCTCAGATTTATGTTGGCCGTGACCATAAGAAATCGAAGAGCAATTGTGTTAAATAAAGTACAAAACGTAAATAACTTATGAAATAAACTTCAAATCAAAACTATAAAGAGAAACATGGGAAAAACAAGATAGTTCTAAGCACAGACAAACAAAATTACATGCTACAAAATAAAATTAAATAGGTAATGGTACAAAACAATTACATTTACCTTCAACTTTTTTAGTCATTATTGCAATGCAATTAAGGGTGATGTTGTATCTATACCCCCTTTTTTAAGAATTATTCTGCCAACATATATAATTTTTTTTTAATAGACACGGGGCAACTTGGCAACAAACCCGCTCCCACACTTCCACAGATGCGCGCATACCTCGCCTCAAAGGCCAGAAAGCATGAAAGAGGGCAATAAAAGGTCATAATAACTCCCCTAAATTCACACAAGAGGAACAAGGGAGGGGGGAATTGCAAGCGGGGGTTAGGATGACATCCATTCTTTAAAAAGCCTTTACAAAACTAGGCCACGAAATATATAATTATATTCTTAACAAAGAAAACAACATTGACGACAAGAAGCACAGACGGGTTTTGAACCATGTTAGATAAACAAAGTTACCAACTTAGCCATGAAGATTAAGCAAACATTATCTATCCTCACTCCAATTGGAAACCAGACTACAGTCTGCACCAGGGTCGCGATCCATCATTTGTTAATTAAATACTGACATTATTCACCTTTAAATAATTTCTACGCGGCCGGGCCGAAGCATCAAAGAATAACTATGGCATCAGGGTCGCTCCAAAACATAAAACAAATTCCCTAGCCCGGGATATCAGATGAAATAATCACAAGAAGTCAAATAATAAGTACGAAATTAAAGTGGATCTCCTAGGAGAGTTAAGAGCGGAGAAGTCTCTCAGAATTAACCAACACGCAACACTCCATGGGAAGCGAGCAGCTCACAGCCGTCTTTGTCTTCCCGAGAGGAACGACCACGGAGCAGGCACAATGCCAGGAAATGGCCCCATAAAGATCGTAGCGCGCGGGCGACGACTCGAGAAAGGAAATTAATAAATAAACACATGCGCAGGGTGTTCCGACGACAAAGCACAGCCGTCTTTGTCTCCCCGCAGCATGGACAGCAGGATTCTCGCACGCAAGCAGATAACATTTCCTATGGGAAGATCAAGTCACAATGAAACTGAGCGACAAATGGGTCGCATTTCAACTTCCAAACAAAGAACAACTTGAGCTGTGTGAGACAGAAGATATAACGCCCAGAGCGAGGGAGGGGATCATCAAGCTCGCTTAACGTGTAGGTTTTCGCGACAAATATTATTCATAATCAAAGACATGGATTATGATTTATAACTCGGTGCGAACGCGAATCGTCGGTCTGGTTAATGGATAACTTAGGTGTCGCCGTCGCAAGGAAACCCCACCCCTCCTTTCAGAATGATTACACAGCTGGTCTTTAAAGCTCCCATAAACACACACAGGACACACACGGACGGACACGCACACAACGCACACGAACAAAGAGAAAAAGTTATATGACACAGCCTTTGAACAACTCGGAAAAACTGAGTAGATTTTCCCGATATAAGCCGAGGAAAAATCCATTCAACTCAGATCTTCAGGGCTACGGCCCCACCAGAGATCTTCAGGGCTACGGCCCCACCAGAGATCTTCAGGGCTACGGCCCCACCAGAGATCTTCAGGGCTACGGCCCCACCAGAGATCTTCAGGGCTCCGGCCACCATCTCGTCTCCGGAGCTTCGGCCCCCACCAGAGATCTCCGGGGCCCCTCTCATCTCAACGCTGACAACGAGGAAGCTCTTCCGTCATCCGAAATGACGATGTTCACGGGGTAGCGACATGCAACGAAAGCTGAGGTCTGCACCACCTAGGAAGAATCGCTACCCTGAGTCGCCGAGCTGCGAGTGAAGCTGACGGAGATTCCAGCTATCACTCCCGAGCCAACAAAGACACCCAACGTCCACCCTGCAACGAACGAAGCATCGCTCATCGTCAGAGTGACGACCAGCAAACAACCCGCAGGAAGAGCAGAGATCGCCAAGTGAGCAAAGCAGAGAGCGCGAAGCAGTGGAGAAAGCCTGATCGAACGGCTGTGAGGAGGAGGACAGCGCCATCGAATGTTTAAACACACACCGACCAACGACCAGTGAGAACAGACAAGACGTCCAGAGCGACGGCGAGCATCGTGCCGACTCAACAATCGTCCAGCAGTGGAGAAGCCGGGGGCTGCCACCAAGAGAGAGAAAGAGCTATCGAATGCGCAGTGTGTTTGATACACACCAACACCCAGTGAGAACCACAAGACGTCCAGCAGCGAAGACGAAATCATCGCGCAACACGACGGCGAGCATCGTGCAAAATCAATCGAGCAGTGGAGAAAGAGAGTCAAAGCCTTCCGAACGAGCGCCGCCAAGCGCCGCCGCTCACCTCGCAGCGGAGAAATTCTCGGCTGCAACCCGCACGGACAGAGGAATCTCCCGATTGGTCGTATCACTTCCCCACACACAGACTCAAGGAAGCACCCAGAGAATATCTTGTCAAACCGGTTTCTTTGTCATAAGAGTCTCGCCGAAGAATTAATTAAAACAGAGCCAGATTCGCTCTCACACGCCCTCACCCACCATTGTCTCAAACATTCCGTTAACAGATATAATCTTGCCAACGAATCAATTGAAGTATGCTTCGCTTTCGAGGTACAATAAGTGTTTTTATTGCCGCCATATGAATATTGTGTCATGCTTGTTTTCAAACTCGGCCAGTCGCCGATTGTGATCGATACATGGGGGAACTAATGAGATGTTTGGTGGAAAGGTAGAGGTTACATGTTTGTTAGAATTAAAATTGCTTAACACCAACTCTTCGAGTGCTTCTTTCCAAGTCCATGCAAAACTGTCTTATTCCTAAGAACTTTATCCTGTGATGAGATATGAAACTGGAGACCTAACATAACATAAACACACTAGGATAATCAGTAAATGTTAATCAATGATAATCGTGTTATCCTGATTGATACAACTCTGGATAAACGAAACTAAGCCTAATTATCATAACTGCTCACATGAACATAATCGCAAGCATCCACATAAATTACTACGATTATCTCCGTGATTATCATAATTTATGCATATAATTACACACACTATCATAATTTATGCATATAATCACACATTAACATAATTACTGCGATTTGCGCATTTTTCGGAAACTTATTAATTTTTATTATTTTTATCAAAATTTCATAATCCAACACATATAACAGTGATATGACACTGAATGTGACGAGACGATGTGGCAGGAACATTATACGCACGGTAACAATGTAACAGCATGGCTGAGAGTGAGAGTGCGGAAGATGCTGCCTGCCTTATGCCTCACTCAGCGGTATTCACCTACGTGACTTTACCGAAAAAACCTAAGAATATGAATCCTTGCAGTCACGAAAGCTTCCAATCTAGAATTCATCCACAACCTCACCGCGCTGGACTACTTGTGCTTAAATAACTAAGGCAAACATTTCCGCATGTTGATTTTTTTTACACGATTTATGGGAACATTTCCAAAAGGTTGGACTTCCGTAAGTCGGGTTTTCCGCTACCCGGGGACTTACCGTAATGTTTGTGGCCAGAAGGAATTCCTGTCACACGCCAACTTGAACAGGAAACGGCTCCGAATCCTTGTCAAGCAGCATTTGCCGGACCTGCCCAAAATCACAAAAATCCTTAACGAATGTGAGCAGAGGGGCAGGGATATCAAAAACAAGGAAAAACCAAAACCCTAAGCCTCTTCAAGGTACTGAGGCCTTGATTACATCAATGAAGCAGGGATCTAGTTTCTGGAAGAAAAAATCTATACACCTGTGCTGTAGCAGATGAACAGAAAATACAGGAGACCTTTGAATATCGCAGGGGTTACTTTCTTGGAACGTGCCGAGAAAGCCAAAATGGCAATATTAAATACTTAAGCCTTACCTAAACAATAGGGTTAGGTAAACGGCAACCAAAAACATGCATCAAAATTGAAATAAATAAGTAGAAACTCGATAGAAAAAACATTACAAGACAATAAATAGGATTATAAATACTGAAGAAAAACTCTACTTACAATGATGATGATGTGTGTGTGTGCGTGAGTGGGGAGTGGTCGTGCTTCGCGTGCTGCGCTATGAACCCAGTGACCCGAGTTCAATTTCCGCTCACGCCCAAAACCATGAGAAATATCTAAAGTGGCCCTGGGCCTTCCCAGGTCGACTCAACCTCAAATAAGTACCTGGTGTGATGTGTAAACATCGCCACTGGTGAGAAAAAGGCGGCCGGGAATGGTGCTGGTAACCTATCCCCTTTGTGTGCCGTGCCGACCTTTATAGGTGCTACTTGCGAACAGCACTTGCCCTAACAGTCTGTTAAGGCTAAATGCTTGCATGGCAAAGGTTGAGGTGCCACCGATTTCTTCGCGTTCCTCACCCACCCCGCCCTCCTTCCCAGAACAGTATACCCACTCAAGTGTAAATTGGAATGCAAAGAGGTTGCCCGTGCTAAGTAGAAACCGCAAAAAATAAACCCGTGATATTCAAGGGTCCACTGTATGACATTTGCGCAGAACTGCCCTGGCCTGAAACCACAATGGGGCTTTGCAAGCTTCTTCTCTGCAGGTGTAGCAAGCTGAATATTCATTATCTGGCAATCAGTGTGGTCGAACGATAGATCCTCAGTTTAACACGTAGGCTTTCGTGACAAATATCATCCATAAGAGGTTTTTGGGTTAGATAGCGTAAATGTCGTTAAAACACGCCACCACCAGAAACAGCCAACTAGTAAGGGTTGTCACGTAAACAGAACATGCCAATTCATCACTAGTACAGCACACCGGTGTTGGAGAGCCAAGCCACAACATTTACAAACGAAGTACGACGTTTCGCCAGTAATTACAACTAGCTTCATCAGGCGACAGCCAGATTTGTGGAGAAGTCTTACTGTTTCGTTCCATATATAGAGGTGTAGATGTGTTGACCACCCTTCTGCACTGAGCAAAAAACCTCTATTACGTTAGATCTTCGTCCAATCCAGCAGAGATCCTTGTTCAGTCCATGTTGTTGTAATAATGTTCTGTACTGCAACCTGTGTAAAATCACCACCCTCCCTCTGCACCTTCCTATGGAAGTCCATTATGCCCGGCACTAAAACTGCTCTTAGACTCTGGGTTGCCCAAGCCGTGCAAATGTCACCAATCACAATATTCTGGGTTCACACTTTGTCACAAGATATTGCACTAGCCAACCACTGACAGAGTGTGCTTACTTCCTGGAATATTTAAGGCATAGCCAAAGCAACAAATACATATACACAAACACACGTTAAAATACACAAACCCGTGTGCTAGCTACCCAGCACGTTAACACACTCCCAAAACACGCTCTACAAAACCAGTAATACTAAGAGGCTAAAAATGCAAATAAAAAAACAAGGTTAAGTGTTAACTTACACTCGCAGTCAAATAAAATATATTAACACACATGAGCATATTTCACTGCACACACATACACACAGTTACCCGCAACAAAGACCCCCAATATAGCCTTAACAATAAGTTCAAGAGTGGGTGTATGGCCAGCACCACACCCGACCGCTTTTGTTTCCCCAGTGGCGATGTTTACACACTGCACAAGGCGCTCATTTGAGGCTTTGCCGATCTAGGGATCGACTCCAGTTGGGACGGGTCAGAAAGTTACAAAAACAAACATGGTTGGTTACGTACGGTGTGAACGAAGTTCAAATGACATACAAAAAACGATAGGAGTGCAAATTAGATTAAAGGTAACCAATTCACACAAAAATGTATAGAAATTAATAAAGTACATAGTCCAATTTTCAAACAGATACCTATTCCAATGCAAAATTAAGTCTGCATTAACCACACATTCTTATGGTATATTTTACCACAAACATCAAGTCTGTATTTATTTCCTTGGTTCTTTCGGTAGTCACGTAGAAGGGAAGAAATAAAATAATAAAAATAAAACATAAAATAATTCTCACGACGTTTCGGCCACAACGCAAGCAGTTGTCCTCAGGTGAAAACCAGGTCTGTCGAGGCGACAGCGTCTGAATGAAACAGCACACGAGCTTGGAGCATATATATAAGTGACTTTACCGAAAACCAAGTAGATGAATCCCTGCAGTCACGAAAGCTTTAAATCGAAAGTCTGTATTTACCACGATATATTTATTTACAATGCGATTTTTTCCGTAGAGTTGCTCTTTATTTGACCTGTTATTAAACCATTGGACTATCCGAAAAATGTGCGACGTGCATCTGATTGTCTGTGTCGCGTGTTTATTTGGAGTTTGCGTGTCTCTCTTTCTGCGTGGTTGCGTGGATTTGAACTCCGCTTTACCCCTCCAAATTTATAAACATGAGTTTAGAGCATTTGGCTGCTGTTAATTTCCACACGATAAGCCACTTCGTTGTGGGCAGGTCGCTTCTGAAATATATATAGCTCAAAATGAGAGATAAAAAAAAATGGTTTTAAAGTAGTCAGCCAGGTGAGAACAAATTAAAATGAACAAAATATAAGCAAATACAATCAGGCGATGGCAGGAGGCAAGGCCAGCATGGCTAGGCCACACTTTGTAACGTTCCAACCTGGACATCGATGCCATTACTCGCTGCTATACTCAATTGATATCCCGAGGAGAACAATAGAAGAAGCGAGGCTGCACCTAATTAAACAAAAACCACGACCACCACGATTTGAACTTCTCACCTAGGATCTCAGTTGAGTGGCGAGCAGCTTTCCGGGATCTCGTGACGTCACGATGAACCGCGCGGCGGGGAGATGACATGACGTCATACCTAGCTTACCCCACCGACTGAAAAAATGATGTTAATGAGTCAGCCCCTGACGTTGAGTGATTGGCCATGGCTGCTGAACAGAACACAATGAACTCGCAACAGATTTCATGGAAAATGTTATGAAGCAGGCTCTCATATGGAGTGATTGCGCGTGGCTTTGCCCAAATTATGATTTTACTGGTGACGTGATGTCACTAGCGGAGTACACACCCCCTAGCGTCTCGCGACGATGACTTCACGTGGAGTGGTAAAGTGAGAGGGCGAGCACGGTGAGGAATGGTATTAGAGTATAAGTTGATTTAGATTCCTTTTACATTTCTTCCTCTGTTGCACAGTTATCCCTTGGGTGGGTAATCTCAGCTACAACAACAAGAACGTGAACATTATTGCGTGTTAGTGTACACTGTGTGATACCACTATCATCATAAGCATCAACATAATCGGCACCATCATTATAATCATAAGCACCACCATCAGCTTCAGCACTATCATTATCAGCACTATCATTATCAGCACTATCATTATCAACACCATCATCAGCAGCACCATCATCATGAATCCCATCATCAGCACCACCATCAGCAACACCACTTTAATCATCATCAACACGATCATCATCAGCACTATCGTCATCACCACCACCATCGTCATCAACACCACCATAATCATCAACACCATCATCAGTATCAGCACCAACAACAACAACAACCGCAATTCGTCACTAAGTGGCACTTGTTCCAGGCTAAGGCCACGTGAAATATCAAACGCCCGCGTGCATACCCAGGTGTCATGGGTTGACTGATTGAGATGACTGGCCGGTGCACCACCTTGTGCCCCCTACTGTGCCAACTGTCTGTGCTTTAGCCACCCAGTGCTCCGCTCGTTGTGAGCGTCGCTCTTCCTTCCGTTGTTGCTGGAGGGCGACTGCCTCCAACTGCCCAGTAGTGTTCTTCACGAACCTCTTCCACAGAGGTCGATCTTGACACTACTGTTACCAGTCATGGGCAAGTCCACTCAGCTCCACATCCTCTATGGGCAGTATTGAATCTATGGGCAGTGTTGAGTCTACTGGCAGCGTTGGAGTGTATGGGAAGCGTTGAATATGTGGGTAGTGTTGAGTCTATGGACAGATTCCAAGAACACAGGATGAGATGTTACTATCCTTTGTGCAAGCACTTCCAAGAGTTCATGAACAGTGAGCCTGGTGAAATTTAGGGAGCCCATCGTCAGTAGTGTACCTTTGGTTCCTAGAGTGTTTCGGCCTTTCATACTATACACCCTCACCAAAGGCGGTCAGCAACAGGGTGATCAATCCTACGCTTGCGTCCCATTCCCAATTAGTCATAGGAGTTGCCTTGTTGTTGATAGCCAACATCCCATGGGACTATGCATGGCAGGGGCGTCCTCCTCCCTGAGTCAAGCATTGTTGACCGCATACCTCCTGGCCCTCTCACTTCGGGGCCCAGCTGAGGTCTTTCCTCTTCATCCACAGCCACTGACTGCTGCCTTCTGCCACCTCCGATACAGCTCTGATTGCCGAACGCTGGCTCTGGCCCTTAATTCCCAGGTCTCTAAGCAGTCTGGTTGTAGATGTTGCCACAAAACCTCTGCAGCCCACCTCCACTGGTCGGACTTCTGTGTTCCAGCCATGATGCCGTGCTTCGGCAGCTAGATCGGCATAGCGCAGATGTTTTCGCTCATAAGCCTCATCTACTGAGTCCTCCCAGGGTACTGTGAGCTCGATGATGAAGACCTTCTTGAGCGAACGGGACCAGAGCACCATGTCAGGTCTTAGGGTGGTGGTTGCGATCTCCGGAGGAAACACAAGTTGCCGGCCAATGTCAGCTAGCATTTTCCAGTCGCGGGCCAAGCGCAGCTGGTCTCGCCCTAATGGTGTAGAGCCGCTCTTCGGTGGTTTAGCCCCTAATGCTGCTGGGGGTGGTAGGGAGTTGGTGGCAGCTCACTTGTCCTCCAGGGCGGACGCAAGGTTTTTAAGGACTTGGTTGTGACGCCAAGTGTAGCGTCCTTGGGTGAGGCTTGTTTTACACCCTGTGAGAATGTGCCTGAGGTTGGCTGGCATGGAACAGAGGGCACAGTCCGGATCTTCACCATATCATTGGTGAAGATTAACTGGTGTTGGAAGGACGTCATATGTTGCTCTGATGGAAAAGTTCAACCGCCTCGCTTCCATGGCCCACAGATCCTTCCAGCTGATCTTCCTTTTCTCCACACTGTCCCATCGAGTCCACTGTCCCTGTTTGGCAAGAGAGACTGCCTTGGCCCACCTTGCAGCCTCCTCCTGATGGCGTACTTCCTGCACTACCATCTTCCGCCGCTCTGGTGCTGTGGCCTTACTCCAAGAAGCACGGCTCGTTAGCCCAAGGCCTCCTCTCCCTTGTTGAACATGACCCACAATGTCAGCATGTCTGAGAGCTGCTGTTGCCTCCTGGACTGCTTTTCCTGGCCTCCATTTGCGCCCAGTTGCCAAGGTCGGCGCGTTGTTGCTCACCACTGAGTCTCGAGATTCATTCAGTGTCATCTGGAGCCTGGTTTTTGCACAATTGAATTCCTCTGTTAGACTGGTGAGGGGCAGCTTGAGGACACCATCTCCATAGAGGCCTATGGTGGTAAGGCATCGTGGAACTCCGAGCCACTTCTTTAAGTAGCCTGTGACTCCTCTTTCCATCTTCTCCACTGTTGAGATTGGAACCTCATACACTGCTAGGGGCCACAACACCCGGGGTAGGAAACCAAACTGCAGACACCAGGCCTTTAACTTTCCAGGTAGCTGGGTGTTGTCGATGGACTGAAGGCTACTACTGATGTCTTTGCGCAGCTGTTGCACCTGGTCTTTGTCCTTCAGGCTTGCATCATACCACCTTCCAAGGCTTTTTACCGGCTGCTCAGACACTGTTGGGATTTGGTCATCTCCGATGAAGAATTTCAGGTCAGAGAGTACTCCCTTCACAGTATTAAGTATATGGGCAGTCTTGAGTCTATGGGCAGTGTTGAATCTATGGGCAGTGTTGAATCTATGGGCAGTGTTGAATCTATGGGCAGCATTGCGTCTATGGGCAGTGTTGAATCTATCAGCAGAGTTGAGTCTATGGGCAGTGCTGTTTAATGTAAAAGAGTAAAAGAGAAGTTTATTCCAGTGGAGGTGTACAAGGAGGGAGAAGAACCAAATGGGATTGTGCACACGGTTATTGTTATATAGGGTGGCCCAAAAGTCAGGAGACAGGGTTATTATTATACAGGGTGTGGCAAAACTCAAGGCACACATAGCTATTATACAGGGGGGCCGAAAAGTCAGGACACATACGGTTATTATACTGGGTGGCCCAAAATTCAGGATATACATGGTTATTATACAGGGTGGCCCAAAAGTCAGACACATTAGGTTTTTATTATATTGGGGGGCCCAAAGTCAGGACACATGGTTTAGTGTAATACATATTGGCCCAAAAGTCAGGACATATACTGTTATTTTATAGGGTGGCCCAAAGTCAGGACACATAGCGTTATTATTATACAGGGTGGCCCAAAAGTCAAAACACATAGGATTAATATACTGGGTGGGCCAAAATTCAGGAGACATAGGGTTAATGTTATAAAGGGTGGTTCAAAGTCAGGACACATACGTTACTGTTTTACAGGGTGGCCCAAACGTCAGGACACAGGGTTATTATACTGGGTTGCCCAAAAGTCAGGAGATATAGGGTGAATGTTATACAGGGTGGCTCAAAAGTCAGGATACAGAGGGTAATTGTTTTACAGGGTAGCCCATAAGTCAAAACACATAGGGTTATTATTAGACAGTGTGGCCCAAAAGTCAGGACACATATGTTACTGTTATACATGTTGGCCCAAAGGTCAGGAAACGTACAATTATTTTACAGGGTGGCCCAATAGTGAGGTCACACAAGGTTATTATACAGGGTGGCACAAAAGTCAGGACACAAGGTTATTGTTACACGATTTGGCACAAAAGTTAGGACACAGGGTTATTGTTATAAAAGGTGGCCAAAACATCAGGGCACAGGATTATTGTTATATAGGTTTGCCCAAAAGCTCGGACACATAGGGTTATTCTACAAGGTGGCCCAACATTCAGGACACAAATATAACTATTATACAGAGTGGCCCAAAAGTCAGGACACACATGGTTATACAGGGTGGCCCAAAAGGCAGGAGACATATGGTTATTGTTATACAGGGTGGCCCAAAAGTTTTGAAACATAGGGTTGTTGTTATACAAGTTGGCTTAAAAGTTAGGATGTAGAGTTATTGTTATACAAGGTGGCCAAAACGTCAGGACACCCAGGGTTATAACAATAGGGTGGCCCAAAAGTCAGAAGACATAGGGTTATTGTTCTACAGGGCTGCCAAAAAGTTAGAACACATAAGGTAGTTGTTATACAAGGTGGCCAAAAAGTCAGGACACATAGGGTTATTTTACAGGGTGGCCCAAAAGTGAGGACACACGAGAGTCGTTATACAGCGTGGCCCAAAAGTCAGAACACAGGATTTTTATACAGGGTGGTCCAAATGTAAGGACACAGGATTATTATACAGGGTGGCCCCAAAGTCAATACTCATAACGTTATAATGCTACAGGTTGGTCAAAATGTCATGGCAGATAAGGTTATTATTCAGGATGGCTCAAAAGTCAGGACACATAGGGTTATTATAAAGGGTGGCCCAAAAATAAAGTAACATTGGGGTGTTGTTATACACGGTGGTCCAAAATTCAGGACACAGAAGGTTATTCTTTGACAAGGTAGACCAGAAGTCAAGACACATATGGTTATTATACAGTGTGGCCAACAAGTCAGAACACACACAGTTATTTTTAAAAAGGTTGGCCCAATGTCAGGAGACATTGGGTTATTGTTATACAGTGTGTGCGAAAATTCAAGGAATACATAGCTATTATACAGGGGGAGGCAAAAGTCAGGACACACAGGGCTATTGTTATACAGCCTGGCGCAAAATCAAGTGTAGTGACATAGAATTGGTCACTACGTAGCATAGCGCTGTATGTTGGCAGAGAAGGGGATCTGCAGTTGCAGCAGCCCTGGCTGACAGCAGGTCACGTGACAAACCAGAGAGAGGGATGTAGGGGAAAGGTTACAGAGGGGACACGTGAGGGAAGCCCGGGAACCTGCTAGTAGGTTCTAGAGAAGGGCTCGCGAACAGCAAATGTTGGGCAGTGCTGTGAACCTATATGAGTACATGAGCAGTGCATATCGAAGTCATCGAGTCCATAGACTCTTCAAGCTTTATAAACGCACTCCGGTGATTCTTCGCCATCAGAGGGCCAGCCAAGCAACTCCGTTCTGATTGTGGAACCAATTTCACTGGAGCATGTAAAGAGCTTAAGATCAATACGGAAAATGTTAAATATGATTCTGTAGGCAAATACATTTGTGACCAAGGCTGCACGTGAATCTTCAATCCTCCTCACTCTTCGCATATGGGTGGAGCCTGGGAACGCATAGTCGGGAATGCTCGACGCATTCTTGTCTCCATGCTGTGTGATGTCGGGTCCACAAGTTCTATCACGAGGTCTTGACCACTCTCGTGGCTGAGGTCTCAGCTATAATTAAAACCCCTGATTCCCATCTCAACTGACCCAGTCACCATTCATCTTGACTCCTGCTACACTTCTTACCCAGAAGACATGCTCAGAGCACCCACCGAGGAGGTCAGCACAGCAGGCCTCTACAGACGCCAATGGAGACAAGTGCAGAGCTTCATCTACATGTTCTGGCATCACTGGAAAAACAAGTACCTTGCGACACTTCAAGTGCGCAGCAAGTGGCAGTCGAGCAGACCAGACATCCAAAAAGGTAACCTCGTCCTACTGAAGGACAACCAAGTCAAACGGAATGAGTGGCCAATGGGCCGCATCCTCAAGACGATTACCAGTGCCGATGGGAAAGCTTGAAAGCTTGAGGTTATGGTAGCGAAGCAAGGTGTCGCAAGAACTTTCGTTAGGCCTATAGGTGAGACAGTGCTACTTTTCGCTCGCAAAGATATGGACAAATAAGTTAACCCATCGAAGTTTGTTGCACATTTGTTTATGACATTTGTTTATAAACAGTGGTATCTCCTAGATACCAGACAGGGAGTGTTCTGCCCCACGGCAGATATGGGGGTGTGTTTACACAGGAACTTCCTGATATGATGGTGTTGAGTTTGGTCACGTGACCAAGAAGTTACGAGTTAAGGGTCTCTAAGTCATGAGGCCAGGCAGGGGTGTCAGCCATTACAGAGTACAAACAATTAACGTATCAGTGAAGACCGGTGCATTTTTGTCTACCAAGTGGCAATGCTTACACATCACACCAGGTACTCATTTGAGGCCGAGTTGACCTAAGAGAAGCCGAGAACCGGTTCAGATAATCGTCACTGGTGTTGACCAAACTCGGGTCTCTAGGTTCATAGTCCAG